TTTGCTTCCAGCTTTCCAGAGACATTATCTGGAATTAGAATCTCACAACTCCTCCATCCCCATGCCTGACAGCCAGGGCTTTACCCTCAACACTAACAAGCACGTTTTGCTTTCTGGAGAAGGGTGAAGTATTAAACTGAGAAAACCAAAATCTCACCACACTCAATCAGCCATAACGCTTTCCTAGAACAATTGCTTATGCCAACTTGAGAAGTGTTTCCAACAGATACAAGGAGGCAGGACTTGCTGTGTGCACTGTGGCAGGCAGCAGTGCCCCTGTGGCTGGGTGGCAGGGGTGTGACAGCTTTCTCGCCGCAGGTCCGCAGGCAGGGACAGCCACTCAGGATGGTGTGCACCAGCTGGCTCCAACCTGCCCATCTGAAGGGCTGCCGGTGTTGTGGTTGTGGTACAGGGCTTCAGCCGCAGACGCTGTGCCCACACACCTACCCAAGGAAGGTGCCAGGAAGTTGCCACCGCCTGCACTGACTGTCACCAGAGCTGCCACCACGCCTCTACCCGCCACAGGACGACAGCTCAAAAGGAGATGATACCACCTACCAGTGTCAGCATTTCCAAAGAACTCCAGGCTGCCCTGGTTAATTGTACAGTTTTCTACATTTTTACCTAATCAGTTAAAAAGGAGAAGTGGCTCCACACAAGTGTTATCAAAGCCCAAACTAAATCTTCTCTGCAGTCTTCAGAACCACTCGTTAGAACAGAAAAAGCCACAGGCAAAAAACACCTTTAAAACCTGCATTTCAAACTGGCACTTCTTGTACCCAGGTACCCTTGCATCTACCCACACCTGACAAGTCCAGCTTCACAGTAATGCATCTTTGCTGCAAGTTCCACTCATAAAATGTGTTCACGTGCCCACATTCACCTTAAACTTTTGCACAGATACTGAAATTTAAGCTTTTGCATATGCCAAGTGAATAAGCTCTTGAAAGCCACGTATATTAGACCTTATTTTTAGGCTAATGTTCCCTTATGGAAATGGAAATGCCATGCAAGTGTTATTATCTTACAAAAATAAATGGAAAGCTATGGAAAACAGACATCCCGTTTTACAGAAGACATATTCATTCAAGTCTAACCTTATAGCTCCCCAAAGCTTACGGAAGAAAAAATTTAATTCCCCAAATTAAAATTTTATGTTTAAAATCATATTAATCTGCAAGATAGGCAGCTGGTCCCAATGCTCAAAACCTTCACTAATCATCACAGCTTAGTGAGGAACACAGGGGAACAATCTATATCGCCGAATCCAAACTGGCGTAGCATTTTATCCACATTCCTGAAATGCTAGCTTTCTGGCAGAACTGATTCAGGAGAAACAATCCTCTTTCCTTTCAAATAGAATATTCAGAATCACAGAATATTCATGGTTGGAAGGGACCTTTGAGATCATCGAGTCCAATACACTCAGTAAATGCCTATACTGTGCTGAGACAGTGAACAGATTGATGTCTCTCTCACACTCAGGTTTAACTGAGTAAAACAGGTAGATAAGACTCATGTGATAAACATATGCAGTATCTCAAAACTCACACTACACAAACCAGAGTCATTGGAGTCCCCCGAGCCACAGTGATGGTTACAGAATGCTGCTGCAATAAGCAATTCCCACTAATAAAGAGCAATGCTTCTAATTCACTGTGAAATAAACTGAAATGAAAGGGATTATTAATTTGTCTTTCCAGTGCTGCCTTGCATCAGAATTAAGACAGTGATACCATCACCCTCTAGCACTAAAAGCTGTTTCCAACAATTCAAATACACTCAGAGTAATTAAAGAACACAATGTGCTGAAACCTTCAGCACTTCAATAATAGCACTTTTTACTAACAGGTTGAGGCAGAAACACCAGCTATTTTTGAATTTAAGTTCTGATACAACACCTACAAAAGAAGCATTTAAAACAGTGGCCCAGTCCTGGTTCAATAGGAAAAAAACCCTGTTGGCTTCAAAGGAGCAGAACTGACCCTAGAAAAGTTGCATAAAGCACACCCTTCAGTCCTACAACATTCGTATGAACTAACCTTGCTAAAACATTTTTGAAAGAGCAAGCAAAACCATCTTTGAATACATAAATGACAGGCTTAAGGAGGAAAGGCACCATTTACCTGCTCTGGAGATGGAAGGAGGAGTGAAGGGCCATATAGAAAGCATGGGAGATGTCAGTTAAATATCAGAAACAATTAAGAGCCAGGTCTGTTAATTACAGGAAGAGATTGCCCAGGGAGGCAGTGGAACCCCAGCACTCGAATTGTTAAGAGGGCGTTGGTTAAAGCATCTGTCAGAAAGGCAGAGGCGCCTTTCAGCAGAGGATGGGGTAGAGGAAGTCCCCTCCAATCTTCTCACCTACAGGGAACTCTTGTGAGCTGCCATACCAGAGAAAGGCTGCAGCATTCAGCAGCATGGCCTACACAGACAGCTCCTCACCTGTGTGAGCATCACACTGAAATAAAGCAGCTAAAAACATAGAGAAGCAGCCTGGGCTGCAGTAGGGCACAAAGTTGAGAGATGGGAAGCTGGAGCTCAGGCTGAAGGTTGTACCAAGCGGGCCAGAGCCTGTCACCCCCTGCCCATGCCATGGCTCTCCCCCCCTAGTCCTTTACCTGCTCCAGCTTTCCCACACAGGGGCGGTCTGAGGGCATGGCTGGGTGAGGGGGAGAGCAAGCAGAGAACTGGACATGCATCAGCAAAACAAACATGCTGAAAATACACCAAGAAGTATGGTTGCCCATGAACTTTTACAATAGTGACTTGTTCAATAGTGTTTTTAGGATAGATCGAGTGGGTGGAAGAAAGGGGAGGCTGGCACACCACATTCAGGGCACAATTACTCAAATACAGCCTGTTGATGGCTCAACAGTCAAAGCATTTTGAAGGGATATGGGATTGATACACCAACTGGCACAGCCCACGAGAGGGGAACCCTCACACAGACCACTGAAATCACAGCAGACAAAACCCATTTCTCAAAACGTCATAAAGGATTTCAGTAGAGGAGACATATGGGACTCTTAAAGAGCCAAACAGAAAAACTCACCAGAATTTCTAAGAATTACAGCTGAGTGGAGGGGGATGGAGGGCAGGAGCAGTTAGCGTACCCAGAATCAAGTACTGGGATTTGGGCCCAGGGAGAAAGATGTGTTGGGCCATAGGATAGGAACTGGGGAACACCTAAAATATTAGTTCCTATTTTTTATAGGCAAAGAAAGGGCAGGCCCAATCAAAAAGTTCTCTCCAGGGTTTTAAAAAGGTTAATTTCAGTAACTGAAGAAAATTTTACTGAACTAATTGGAAGAGAAAATGTAGAAGAAAAAAACAGGACTGAAAATAGACAGTTCTTTAAAAAGAATTCATTAGAGGGCTGAGAATTCATGTTTCTGTGAGAAGGCTGTTTTAACTAAACCCTTGCTAATCAGTAACTGTATAGGTCAGACTAGACGTTCACAGTAAAATTTTTAAATTGTGATATAAGAAACGTTATTTTTAAGTTATTAAGGAAATAAGGAGAAATTGTGCGTTTGCATTAGATGAAAGAAAAAGAAGATATTAAATAACATTTCCTTGGGTTGAACACACAAGTCAGACCACTCAGCCCATTTCCACCCACAAGTCCTAAAAGGCTCTGGCTTGCTGAGGTCCATCACGCAGTAACACTTCAGAAAACTGGAAGGCGGCCAACATGCTCCTCCTCCAAGCACACGTGCTGCACTCACGAGCAGGAAAGATAGCTGGGGCAACGTGAATAACTTTGGTACGGCTTTTGTTGACTTATGGCTGGATAACCACTCCAAACAACAAATAAGGATAACACAGCTGCAACACTGTAAACAATATCTAGACTAAAAACTGGTGACCAATATAAGAGAGGTTATTTGAGAATAAACATTAAGCAATCTTAATACATGCTCTCAGAGGTCAGTTTCAGCCCCAGTGCTGGTCAACATTTCAATAGAAACAAATATAAATTGTCTATTAAACCTTGCAGATGAACCCAGCAATAAATAACAAAGTGCAGTCACGGAGCGTGATCTGGATCCCTTAGCAGGCACGTCAAGTAAAACGTGCTGCTGTGCATCCAAATATGAAGTCTTACACCTAGGAACAAGGAATGCAAACACTGCTGTCAGGGATGCCAGACTGCCTGGGACTGCACCAAACTGACACTGCAAAGGATGCTGAGGTTAGGGCAGATAAGCAACTCAGCAAAAGACTAGGGACGAGAGGGCTAATGCGATTATGGCACGTACAGAAAGATAAAAAGAGCAGGAGTACGGAGGAGATTTTATCTCAATATACTGGAAGAATATTATATTGTTTTAAAATGATATTTAAATTCTACAGCACATTTAGAAAAGAGACTGAAAAAACTGTTTTAGACTGGAGAAAAAAAAATTCTCAGTGAAGGACTTAAAAAGCTTCATCTGTTTAGTTTATCAAGAGGTAGATTCAGAGGTGATTCTAACTCAGTGTGGTCAAGGCAAAAAAGCGGAGGTACTAATAAACCCTCAAACAGAGAAAGCTTTAGCTACAAACCGTTTGAAACTAAAGATAGATAAATTCAAGGAAATAATAAAGTATGACTTTTCTTAACAGTAAGGATCATTAACCTTTACTTTAATAATGGTACAAGCAGTGCAAAGTAAAAGTAGTGAATTTTCAGTGTTATAAATTGTTAAATTAAAACCGGATACTGCATAGATGATTTGCTTCAGGTAAACACAAGTTTCTGGGTCTGGGTGAAACCACACAGCTTATTCTAACAGATCTGACAGGATCATCTTCTAGTTTTTAACTCAACAGATTTATAGTAATACAGGAAAAGAACAGTATAATCTATTGCTGCCAGTAATATCTGCATAACACTTCTTTGCTGAGGTAAGAGTGACAGATTATAAACCATTCTTGTATCTGAAATGTCAAAAGCATTCAGTAATTAAGGCAAACCAAAGCTCCAGCCTTCCTCGGCCACCCAGACGACTTACTCAGAGATGTGTACGAAGATGTCAGGCCCTCCATCTGCAGGGGTAATGAAGCCATGGCCTTTGGAGCGGCAGAAGCATTTACAGACACCTTTGTAAATGGGACCCTCCGATGCTCTCACAGTCCTGCAAAAGAAAGCACAAACAGAGCGGTTCATTGCTGAGCACAGATGGGACAGCTTCCAGATGTGTCAGCCAGAGCACACGACACAAATGGGCACAATGGTCCAAATACTCACTCCCAGTTAGCATACTCCTCCCTAGCAGCTGCTTAATACTCACTTTTATACACTGCATGTGTTTTGCCTGTAGCCTTTTTTAAGGGAGATAAAAGTGACGAAGATATTTGCTAGCACTATAATCCATCAGTTGCCACCTTGAATCCATCTGCTGTATCACCTTGCCAGATTTTCTTTTGGACACTATACTAAATGTAAGCATCTTGCACCTTTCATGAGTTCGAGAGTACCTACATGCACCTAGGTCCTGTATGCACTTTCACCAATTTAACAGTACAGTGCATGTAGTATTGAGAGAATGCAGTGCACAAAGACATGTATAAACGTGTCCACATGTATGTATATAAACATACCCTTTCTGCACACATGTCTGTCCTTATCCTGCCAGACTAGGATCCAGTGAAGTCAATATTCCACCTTCAAATAACTCCGGCAGGCCACGAAGCCTAACTGGTATGCACAATACCAAGACTCAAGAGTGATCTCCTCCTCCATTCTCATGGGACCTGTATTTTAAAACTAGACAGATTTGAAGGCAAACCTTTAGGCTGGCTTATTGCCATCAAAAAAAGGACTTGCATGAACTATGACCCATCCTGAAAACCGTGTGACAGAATCCTTTTCCCTGCTAAATATGCTGAGTTGAATCTCCAGGGATCCAAACTCACTCAAATACTTCCATTAATAAAGCCAACTGTTTTAGAGGTCTCACAGGGTTTACACAGAGGAGTTATTAGATCAGGTCTTGTGCTATGACTACCCAGTAGGTTGCCTCTGTGTTAGAAAAGGCTTTTGGTGTGATTCTTCAGATTCAGTAAGTGATTGTGTGGCCACTTGGTTACATGCATCATGGCAATTTTGACATCACTTTCCCAAATATTTTCAGTTTACTGAAGTCTAAATACATGGTAATGGCTTTGCTCCATAAGTCAAACTAACACTAGAGAAATACAGTTGAAAGTGTTAAAGAAAGAAGAAATCCGTGTTAAGTCAATTCATTTCCAGCTCTGTAAAGCTGTTGAGACACCTAAACCCACAAGTGCTTGTTACACAGAAAAGTACTCACTGCCCTAAATAAGCCATTAAAGTTCATCTGCATCTTTCAAGGAGATAAAGCACTGTGGGGGATAAGGCTCCACACTTGCAATGAACCAAAATTAAATAATCCTACTGAAAAATAAGCCACTGCCTGTCAGATTCATCTTCTCCATACAACTGTGGGGTGAGAGCTCACCTAGAGCTCCTCCTGTTTCAAGAGGCCACTAAAAAAAAAATAATAAAAATTTAGAGCTGTTTTGATTTTCAGGGCAAACAAATACACTAATTAATGATTAAAGGACTGTGGAAGCCAAATAACAAATTCTTTAGTTTTCTAAGAACCAGACTAGGATTAACAGCTGAGAAGAATTACAAAGAGTTCATTATGAACACAGCACTGAGGCAAGCTAGCTAGGAAATGCATTTCAAGGGCAATCCCAATTATCAAGTCAATTATGTTCCTTTTAACAATCTACTTTCATTACAAAGTTTAGGGCATTTGAAGGCTTTTGGAACTGACAACATATAAATTTTTCTTCTGCTGCTGCTGCTGTTCTTTTTCGCCTCATTTTGAATAAAGTAATAATATGAAGCATCACTGAGATTGATGCTATTTAAATCCACATGGATAACTCTTGAAGAAGAAAGCTGGGTAACGCTGCAAGAAGCAAAGAGAAAAAAGCATGCCAACTAGATTAAACAGCACAAAATAGGCCAGCTGTGGGTCTGAGATCTTACTGCCACAGCGTTTCACTTGGCATCGCCAGACGTCCCTTACACAGAAGTAGTTGTAAGACCATAGCAGAAGTGCAATGGATTGACCACAGCTTCATGTCATACTCTCAGGCCCTGATTCAAAGGCCAGTGAGATGAGCAAAGAAGCCCACACTGCCTTCTGCAGCTCAGCACCTCACCAAGAGACCCACCACAGGCACTGAGAATTTTTTGTAATGGACAAACCTTGCTACACCATCCTCTTCTGCTGTGCTGGGGGAGACCCTTTGGGTGGGGGGCTCCCAGGAGTCTGCACAGCACCACAGGGCCACAGGAAAGCCAGCTCTGCTGTAGGACCACTACCTCAAATAACTACAAGTAGCAACAAACCTCACCTCATTTTATGGAAAACCTCATATAATCTTAGAGAATCAAAGAGATCAGGGTTCATACCTTGAAAACCAACATATTCTTTTACAGGTTTATTTGAGCAATCTTAAGATGGAGATATGAAAGCTGAATAGGAAAAGGAAACAAGCCCTCTGAAAAGTGACAGGGTCATGGACCATCCTTAAAATGTGACCTGGTTGATGGTAGCACAGATTGTCAGGAGTGAAAGAACTAAAATCTCCAGTGAGGTTGGGTCCAGTCATGGTGAGAAGAAAGGTCGTCCAAAGAAGAAGGTGGAGCTGACGAAGAAACACCACAAGAACTGGTGCCGACAGCCACAACCCAGTGTCTGAAGAAAACCAAAGCTTCAGACAAGAAACTCTGTCTTGAAAAATCTCAGTGAATTTTCCCCTACCTGTAAAGCTCTGGTCTTAAAGAGTGGAAATGACTTTGAACACCCTTTATGCAAACAGAGCATTGAAAAACTACAGGCAATTTGGAATGAAAGTCTAGTGGCACCAGAATTTATTTGAGACAAGATAACAGTAAAATACTAAAGCATCTTCCAGATATAACCGTCCCCCCTGATTCCTTTCACCTCGGCAGGGGGGCAATCAATCATTCTGCCCGAAGGCAATCGTTTGGTTGTGTTTATGAAAGGGGGGTTTCCCAGTACTCACGCTGAGAAGGTCCTGGTCCGTCGGGTGGGCAGCGGGCTGGGGATGAGGTACCCTCTCATGGGCGACGGGGAGCGATCTCTCGCCCTGCGGTTTTCAGGCAGATGGAGAGAGTTGGGCGAGGATGGAGAGGTGGGGGACTGCTGCGAAGCAGATGAAGTGGGCTCAGAAGACATTCCTGGTGCCTGAGAAAAACCTAGAGGGAGGAAGAGATCTGACTTAGCCCCAAATGGGAATTGTCACAAAAGTCACAAACTCTTCAGCTGATGATTTTGTAAGACTATGACTCACTTCCTGCAGACGTACAATGTGGACACAGTTGCACCAAAAGCTCCTGCTCTGTGTCAGTGTGTTCATTTTTTAAAAGTTTATTTATTTTTAAATCTCACAGCTTTTGTAAGCTGTACTAGGAAGTTCCACTGAAAAAAGGTTACTCCACAACTAACACGTATCTGCTTACTCCTTCCTCACTCACAGGCAATGGCTACTGAAGCAGAGCTCAGTCCCGACACCCCAAACAGATGGGGTTTGACCACTGACAGCACAGAGGAGCCTCCTGCATCTGCACACAAACACACATTACAAGAAAGAAACACTAGAAAAAGAAATGCTGAAGTAAAGGCTGGCACCTCCACTGCTGGAGGTTAGTTTCACCGGGCAATCACTGATGCTTCATTGCTGCTGCTCAGCTATTAGCACAGCTCTGTCAGAGCTCTGAACATCTTCAGCTTTACTGAAAGAAGAAAATCATGAGAGTGCTCCTTAATTCACCTCAGACAGAGTCAGTTTTCTCTCTGCCAAGGACAGGAACACAGAGGGAGCTGGGAGGCAGTGGCTCTCCATGAGGAGGTGACCCCTCCAGACTGCAGAGATCTGGCAGACCCAGGAATCCCCTTTGGTAGGTCTGAGTCTGCCACATTCTTCCAATAACTAGGAAGCTGATAGTCCATATTTACATTCAGACCTCCAGCAGCCTGTGTCAGATTTGCTCTTATTCATGTCCTCCAGCAGAGGAGGGAGAAGGTCCCTTTCTCAGCACACCAACAGCAATACACGTCTCATCACACAACAAGTAAAACTCACAGAGGCCATGGAAAGAGAAGGACAGACAAGAAACAGCAGTACTTCTACATACAGGAATTCATGGCTTACAGGTGCAGCAGTGGCAAAAAGACGAGAAATGAATCAGCACTGATCCGGTATTACTGTGCAAGTCCCCATCCATAGTAGATGGGGAATAAACTGTACAAAAATAACTAATAACCTACCACACTCTTATTTAAGAAAATCTAAAAATATCTGAATATCCGGATGAGTTAGCAAAAAGTGTGGCGGTATGGGTCAAGAAAATATCAGGAAGGCAGGAAAAGCTGCCTTTAAGGCCAATAGTTTCATTGAACTGAAATCTCTCATCTCCATTACGCTCCTTCCTTTTGACACCCACACTCCCCAGCCCATGAATTATGGAGTGGATCCTTCACATGACATTTGAGAGATGCAGTCTTCTTGTCAGTGACAAATTCCCATTATTTGTTCCCGAAACTAAGGACTAAAATTAAAAAGGCCTCTTAAGAATGAAGTCACCGGGGAACAAAGGCTTTTGTGTTTAATTGCTCAGGGTGCTGAGAAGGTAGAAGTGGATAGTCATGCTCCCTCGTGTACCAGCTTGAGCTTTCCATACCGTTCTCAAGAGCAAGAGCTCAGCTGGAAACAAAACCACATCTTTACAGGTAGCGTTTCAATTATGGATGGCATTTGCCACCCACGAGCTAATGCCCTGCCCAGTGTCATGGCATGGTTCAGCTGAGACCGAGATGACAACACCAAAGGGATGAGATATTCCAAACTTCCTCTTCTTCCAAAGAGAGCTGCTGTGCTGGCTGGTACTGAGGAAATCTCCTCAGGTTTCAAAAGACCTCTCCTTTGGGTGCCTTGCTTTCAAGGAACACATGTTTGACATAGCAGGATTATAACTCCAATATGTCACAGGAAAAATAAGAGCAAACAATTAAAACCTCATTCTGATAACTCAGCACACATGGTCTGGCCTTTGCACAAGTGCAAATACAGCTTTCAGAATTGCACGCATTCTCTCCTGATCTAAATATAAACCAGCTTGTCAGGTGACAAGCAAAATGCAGAGCTATTCATCCATCCCCAGCCATGCACTACAGCCAGCCACAAAGTACTGCCCGTCCCCTTCCTCTGACAAGGGTAGAGAGGCAAGAGAATCCTCCCTCCTTTCTTTAAAACATAGATGAACCACAAAAATATTTACAAAGAAGGCTAAATGGAGATAGAAGTGTGCTAACGTATGATATTGTTCTCATTTATGTTATTTTTGTGCCCTCAGCTCTGTAAACATAAAATAAAAACGTGATGTAGAACGTTCAGTGCCATTTCAGTGTACAAATACCCTTTTTGTTCTCTGCCCACGGCCAAAGTAGATGAATGGCCTCGACTCTCATAATTTCTTTTACACAAATCCTAAATCGTGATCGGAGCTCGTTGAGAGCTGATACACAAAAGCACACAGCTGGAGGCTGCCAGGAGCAGCTACGCTCGACTTCACACCCACAGCAGCGAGCGAGTACTGCTCCGAAGAGGAGGGGATGCAAACAAGCAGCAATAGGAAGCCTGTGGCTACACTACTGCTCAGCAACACTCTCTACGGGCATGGGTGTTGTGTCACTGCATGGGCAAGTGCACCAGCACATCCGCTTTCCTCTCGGGCTTCTCTGACAATTGTAAAAATCGGATGCAATGAGAAGGACTGGACTTTGAATTACCAAGTTTTACTGCATACACTGCACGCAGTGGGACGGCAGCAGCTCCTGCCTCTTGTCAATCTCTGCTCAGCTTGCTCAGCACAGCCAATCACTTCATCTGAACCTTTTTGAGGACAAAGGTGGAGTTTAGCGATTTCAGCTTGTTCTGGTGTGGCCACTGTCCTGATATTGTTCATACAGGGCTTAACTCATTTCCACTGGCAGCACTTTTGAAGGAGCAGAAACGCTGTCCCCACTTGGACACGCAGCTGGAGGCATATCAAGGCTGAGTGGCATTTGCACAGGGAGCCTACAGCAAACACCCAAACTGAACCCCCACGGCCCCAGCTCTCCCAGCCTGCCTCTCCGCACAAGTTTGGCCTTCCAAATGCAGTCACTGGCAGCCTTCAAAGGTGATTTTCAGATGTTTTCCTAGGTTCTGAACTGACCCTCTGCAAATCAAGAATCACCCTACCAACCCTCCCTCAGCAGCCACGAACACTTTCCCCTCTTTGTAACTAGCTGAACAAACCTACCTTCTTACACCTCTCACCAGCCCATCACCTCCCACCCTGTTTCCCCTAGTTTTCTCCTGTCCCTCCAGTCCAGGCACCATTCTCCACTTTCCCAGGACATCATAGGAACCCCAGGCAGTGCTAACAGAGCACCCAAGCTCCCCATGAGCATCCCTCTTGCCGTGCCTTATGAAGGCAGCCAGTACTTTATAGCAGCACCTTGTAAATACAAAATCCCAGCAGCATGAGATTCCAGCTGCGACACGGATGAGTGACAACACAGACAGTATCTCTTCTCTTCTGCCTGAGCCAGCAAAATGTTTGCCTTCAGGTATTTACAGAATGAATGTAACATGACGCAAAGTGGTGATATTTTCAGGCTCTTCAGGAAACTCCAACCATGTGCCACATTACCCTTAAATCTGCCCTTATTTCAACATGCACCATTTATCTTTCACCAATATGCTTTTTTAGTATTTTTTTAGACTGTAGGTATGCGCCAAGATATAAATAAATCACAGAAGCATCATGGAAACAATAGACTAATTTAACATTTCAAAGCAAAAATACATGTGGGGTTTTTTAACTATACCTTTTTCAACTGGCCAATTGGGCCCCAAAGTGTCATCTCTAACAGGTGACCTACAAAGCACAGAGTGCAATACAAGCTGAAATTCTCCATAAAATATTATCAGAGAAAAAAATATCTATTGAAGTAACTAACATTGGGGGTATGGAACAGCCACCATCATTTCTCTGTATTCCAATATATTATTTTTCTAGTCTTCTTTAAGTCTACCCAAACCTCTAAAAATACCCTAAACACAGAAGTTTTGAGAAAGATATGTATTCTGACCAGCACAACACTATCATGGAAATCTAGTCTCACTTTTAACTAAAGGAAATGCCTGGAAAAAAATGTCGAAATGGCTAGGACAGGGTGACAGACTCCAGGAAATCTCTGTGAATGGCTTCTTTTTCACACAACAGACACTGCAACACCTTCACTGGGCACAGACCTCATCCCCAGGAAACAGTGCTCTGCCAGCTTCAGTGCTCCTGCACAGAGAAATAGCTCTTTCTAGCCTCCTCAGCCTGGAAACGACACTGGCTGGAGGAGCTGCTTTCAGGAGGTACCAGGATGGTCTGCAAACAGGACGGCACTGGTTCTGCATGCCTGGAAAACCAGGCTTTTCCTCAAAGAGAGAGCAAGGTTTCTGTACCTGAAGAGCAGCCACTTTCAGTTGGGTTTTGGTGCGAGTTAGCTCTCTCATTTAAACCTCTAAGAGGAACATGGACATCTGAAAATTTGTTGGTTTCTGTGCTTTCCTTGGATTTAGAAACAGCGTCAAGAACTCTTTTTAAGTGACTCACTTTTAACTGTCACAGTTTTGAAATGTATACTACACAGCTGCATTTCTTTCCTTCTCTAAGGAAGCCTCACAGATAAACCCCTGAGCTTTGCCTGCTCTTCTGCTGACAGCTACAAGCTCTTCACAGCGAGAGAAAAACAGCACAATAGCACACGGTGAGAACCAGAGAGACTGATTCTGTTCCAGAGCACCCCTTCCCAACAGTACATCTCTTGCTCTCATCCACTGAAAGACTGAAGGCAATGGGACCTTCCGCTCTCCGCATTACCTTGCCCTGATGAAGGAGAGGAAGTGGGGTTGCTCGGCTCCCCAGGGTGCCCTCAGGTCTTCAGGTCTTCTAAAGCAGCTCCCTGGCACCTCCCTGAAGCACCTGAGCACCCACTCACCCTGAGCACAAGGCCATGGAACTGCTCCCACCTGCAGTTTCTTTCCAAAGCACTTTCTTGCACTTGGGTCCCGGTGCACACAAGGATCCCAGCGCCACAGAGCATCCCAGCATCCTCCTGCGTCACAGAGTGAAACACTTACGAAACACACACA